CCACCTGCGCGCTCAACCAGTGGGCTCTGGACTTCGAGGGCAACTTGCAAAGGATTTTAAAGAGTGAGTCGTGGCAATAAAAATGTCCATTTTTTAAACAGTGAGTCTGGGGCAGCGAGGGGCCGAGGGGCTAAGGTCCCCTCCCGCCGGCCTGGCGGGCCCTGGACGCACAGCCCTGCCCCGGAGCCGCGCGGCCGTGGGCGCAGGGCCAGGGAAGAGAGGGCAGGGACCCGGCCCATGTGCGTCCTCCCCGGACGGCGCCTGGGACGCGCGGTGCGCACACCTGGTCAGAAAGTCCGCTCGCAAGTGCAGGGGGGGCTGGGGCGCACCTGCCCTCAAATGTCTGGGGCCCCACGTGTCCTGTCCAGCGTGAAGCTGCCCTGGGGGGGTGTAAGGGGAGACGGGGCTGTGCCATGTCCGACGTGGGTGGTCCTGGTGCCCAGGACCCGCCTGGGGGTGGGCGTTGGGAGAAGCGGCCAGAGGGAAGGAGAATAGAGCTGAGTCTCAGGCTGACAGACCAGGTGTGGTCGCGGGTGGTGGGGTCGCTTCGGCTGCCACCGATGCTGGGTCCCCTGTGAAGGTCAGTTGCCCACCTCCCTGGGCAGCCCGGCAGGTGTGGCCCTGCGGGTTGTCTGGTACGAGCTACTGGCAGGAGGGCTGCCAGGAGCAGTGAAAGCCGATGGTTCCATTTTTGGGGGAAGAGACGAAGGCAGAGCGGTCGGGGCCGCGTTGCTGACCTCGAGCAGTAGCCGGCTTCTCCACGAAGAACCCCGGAGTCGGAGATTCAGAGTCGAATCTCTTCTCCCTTTTCCCACCGGTGAGATTGTTTGCTCTTCAGCTACATTTTGGCTTTGTGAGGAGCCTCGATCATCAAAGACAGTGGCCAGCAATGTGACCGACAAGGCGGATCCTCGCCCCGTGAGCTCCCGAGTATCCGTTGGGCATCTCCGCTCGCCTGTGGTGGAGGAATCTGAGGTGGAGGCTGTCTCCTCAGCCTGGCCACCCTGCGGGTCGCTCTGTTCACAAGGGCTTTGCCTTCGTTCAGTGTGTTCACGAGAGACATGCCCGGCTGCGGCGGCCCGGGGAGATGGCGGAATGATCGCCGGCCGGGCTTTCGATATTAATCTGGCTGCAGAGCCAAAAGCGAACCGAGGAAAAGCAGGCGTGAACCGATCGGCAGCGGAGATGTACGGGTCAGAACCAGAACACCCTTCTCCGTCCCCTCTGCTCAGCTCCTCTCTGATTTGGACCGTGACTTCCAACGGGATTATTGTGAAGGATGTACAGCTACCCAGC